GGGGCCTGCGGGCACTGATCCGTCCGGCTCCTTCGCAGGCTGCTCGTCCCTCCGGAGCGAGCGCGAGGCTGAGCCGGGGCATCTCCAGCGAGCGGCCGCCAGCAGCCCGGCACTGATCAAAATTTCGGCATCTTCAGAGAGGGGAGGGAGATCCTCGTCTTCTGAAGCCTCCTCAATGAGTGCCAAGCTCTCCAAGGAGTTGAGGCTGTCCCTGCCGCCGTGCCTCCTGAACAGGACCTCTGCCACCTTAAACGCCAGCAGCACCTGCATCACGCAAGTGGGTCAGCTCTTCCAGTCCTTCTCTTCCACTCTGGTTTTAATTGTCCTGGTCGCCCTCATCTTCTGCGTGATCCTCCTCTCCCTCACCACCTTCCACATCCACAAGAGGAGAATGAAGAAGCGGAAGATGCAAAAGGCTCAGGAGGAGTACGAACGGGACCACTGCGCCCGCAGCAGCAATGGCAGCAGCCAGCGCCCCCAGGCAGGGGTGCAGGCAGAGGTGCCCCACGGAGGAGACAGCCGGCTGGGAAGACCCCCCCAGGACTCGGAGATCCAGCGCCCCTCTCTCTCGGCAGCCTCGAGCTCCCAGTCGGCAGGGGCTTGTTTGGACGCAGCTGGCACGGGGCTCTTGCAGACGGTGGTTTTGTCATGATGGTTTGGGGAGACCTTGCGAAGGCACTGGTCGGTGTTTGTAAATATCTAAGTGATTATTGTAGTCCCTGAAGAAGAAGAAGAAAACACTGCTAATTCAAACGAACGAACAAGACCACGATCCAAGCGCATGACAGATCACACTGCGTTTCTCATTGACTGTGCAAGGAAAGGATGTGTCTTTTTACTGGAGAAGCAGCTGCACGCAGCTACCAAATATCAAGTCATCCTTCTGGAGGAAAGGACCAGGGGTGGGGGCTCCTTTTTCCCTTGACATAGTTACCCCAAGGACTCGGACGATCCCACTCTCCTGGGCTTCTCCCTGCACCCCGCGTCACCATCGCATGGCATGGATTGGGGCGTGGGTGAACAGCGCGGAGGGAGAGGCAGGTCTGGCAGGTGCTGTGGGACCCCTGTCCCCTTGGAGCTGGGCGACAGCCCACCGTGGTCTCTTCTTTCATGCCAGGACCTATGCCCCTCTCCCACCCCTCCTGCTCTTTTCAAGGACTGGATATTATTTTGTGTAGAAATGTCCACCTCCAGTTGGACGTAAGTAACCCGCAAGCGTCCTCCGGCCCCGCAGCCCTGTGCCCCCCATCCGCAGCACTGAGCGTCCCGCTGTCCGGGGGCTGGAGCGGGCTGGCTGCGCAGAGTGACGCCTGAGCTCTCCTCTCCCCTCAGCCCCCCTCATTTTCAAGTGCCCCACCCCGCCCCCCCCAAATGATATGAAACCTGAAACCCAGTACTGTTTTGTGTGACTGGGAGGTGATGTGCAGTAACTTGCCCATCCCCTCCCAGGGAGGGTGTCCCTGTACCTCCTGCTGGTGCTGAAGCAAGCCCAGTTCTGCACCGGGCACCCTGCGTTGAACGTGCTGCGTTTACAGCTTTGCCTCCCAACAAGGAATTCTGCAGCAGTACGGATCTGGCTTCTACTTTTTTAGGCGCATATATATATATATATATATATTTTTAATTCTCCTAATCTAGTAGGCAGGTAGGAGCAGACAGCACTTAATTTTCTCCCCTCCTTCCTCTTTTTGGGAACGACCCACACAGTTGTGTGAAATGTCAGCTCTTAAACCCTAACAAATATTTATTTCAGAAGTGGCTGGTGTAGGTTTTTGTCTGTGGATTGCAGGCGTGAGTGGCTGCTAGAGGCTGCTGTGTGTGTGTTGGAGGAATCGAGAGCAATGTCAGGTACAGGAACTGCGGCTTTGCTTAGCAATTAAATCAATGACCATTACTTGAAGGTGCCTTAACAGAGTGGCCATATCCAAACTTTGAAACACCTTGTGTTGTATCATAGCAGAGGCAGCCCTCTACTGTGCATATTAACATACTAAAAAATACAGCAAAGAAAAAGTAATCTCGAGATTTTTTTCTTCTCTCTTGGCATTCAGACTAATCGCAGCACATAGTAATAGTCCATTTTTTAAGAGACTGTGCCCGGTTGTTCCCTCTCTGCTCTGCTCTGCATCCCGGCGTGGCTGTTAGTCTGGAAAAATCCCAGGCACGCATGGTGGGATGGGGCCCTAAGCAGGAAGTGAATGCTGTTAACTGATTTAAAATGAGGAAACGGGGTGACACAAGTGCACTGTACTCCTCTGACAGTGCTGATATGCAGGGGTTTCAGGCCAGTGCTTCTGTTACCTAGTTTTATCCCTTTCCAGTCCTGCCTGGTCCAATGGGAAATTGCTGTTGAGTTTGGATCTGTGCCTCCAGCATTTTAGGCAAGTACTGTATCATCCAACTCAAGGAGCTACTCCACCAGCTGAGGTTAGTGTGGCAAACATACCTATTAATGAATGGGGTTTTTCACATTGCCATCTGATAGGAATGATGGCTGGTTCTTCTTGCCAGCCGGGCAAGGAAATTGGCTTTGTTTTGTTTCCCCCAATAAAGGATGCATGAACTTTTGTATTTAACCTCCTTATGCAACTGCAGCACAGTATTGCACCACAGGGAATAGATTTAGGACAATGACAAGTGTTCAGTGAGCAGTAATGGAGCTTCCAGATCGTTGATCTCCACTAAATAGAGAGATATTACTTTCCCCTTTATTTTATGCACTTTTTTTAAACCAGTGTATAATTTCAAGTTTTATAAAAGCAATAAGATGTTCCAAATCACTCCAGTGCATTTCTGGTTGATGATTCCACTTCTTTAGTGTCTGAAGTCAGATACTCTTCCTTCTGCCTTATGCACTCAAGGCATGCAATAATTCCCCAGAAGTGTACTGCTTGTCACATCTCATTGCAGTTATAAAATTGCCCTATTTTTGAAGAAAAAAGAAGGATTGGAGATATATATATATATCTTTATATATACTCTGGATATATAGGTATATATATTATTTATATAATTCTCATGACACTAAAAGTAGTTGCAAACATGTAACTAGAATTAAAATGTTGTGATGTAAAACTCTACCCTCTGTTAATTAGCTTTGATTTAACATTTTAATATCTCTGTATTTATGTAAATCTATGTAAATTATGTGGTCTATAAGTAAAATTTCATACTGACTTTAAGTTTCTCAGAACTGTGAGCTTCTTGTGGTGTCATTTAAGGTTTTACATTTCTAAAATTAAATTATACAAGATATCAGAAGTTATGAATTCCTATTATCGCGCAGAAATACTGCAATAAGGTTCATGAGTACTCCCAATACACAATCCTATCTCGAGGTATTGTAAGCTTATGAGGTTTAATTGAACAGTCTCAGGAGATCTAGCTGATACAAGCAGGACACGTAGGTTTTCATTTTCATGAAACAATAAGCAATCTAGGGAATAAATGTGGATTTTTAAAACAGGGTTTATGCATGGAGGTTCTGTCAAATCAATTGCTTCAAAACCCTACAGCTACAGCTAAACTTCTGCACTTAGCATTCAGTATTAATAAGGCTGATGCTTCTTTCCCCTCCCCACTCCTACTTAAACTAGAAAAATGTAGGAAATCGTTCATATTTCTAAAGCATACATTTTCAGCTAACTGTGAAACTGCCCAAAGGGTTTTGAATATACATATTTTATGCAAGTGTAATATCTATGTATCTGTATCCATATATTTAAATATTTTTGTGTAATCTTTTCTACAATATTTGATAGAGATGCTGGGTAAATGCTCGTGCCATTCTTGTATGTAAGAACGGATTTATACCCTGTCAGTATGTACATTCTTTTTCCTGTGAATTGTTACAAGTTTGCACTGTTCTTGGTAAGTTATGATAAACACCGGACAGCTGAGCGCTGACAGATAAAAGAATAAATAGTCTTTCCTCTATTAAGGGGCACATTTTCGGATGGGATTTTCCTGGCTCCGAATAAGAAATCGGGGCGTATTGCTGACTAGCATCTTGCATGTGTAAGAATGAGAAGTGCTCTAGTGCCCGACAGCACTAACTGATCTAGTCGTCGTCCTGTGGAAGAAGCACGATGCTACTTACTGATTTTACGGAGGCTAATAAAAAACGAGAGCCCGCACAGCAAGTAGACGGCAGTGCTGGGTTGAATCTGGGCATCTGTGGTTCCCTGCCCTGTGCTCGCATTGTCAGAGCCAACTACTTCCCTGGGGGGCTTTGAGTGGCTCCCATTGACATCAACAGGAGCTGCTTCCACCCATTTGAAAGGGGATCGCATCCAGCCCTGCGTCCACGCAAAAGGTGACAGCTATCCACATCCCCATAGCTGGCACTAATAGCCTGACCCAGCCTGGCAGGTTTGGCAGGGATGGAAACCTGAGTTGCTGAGGCACATCACCCCCGTCCAACGGCTGGGACGCCTGAGCCTGGCGGCGCTGGGAGGGCCCTGTTCTTATCAGCTCTGCTTGTATTGACTGAGGTGCTTAGGTCTGTCAGGCCGACGTGGATCGTGGACGGGGAAAGTCACTTCATTAAAATGCGTTATTTCAGCATTTTCCTCTGTGGGGGTTTGGCTACTGCAAATATAATCGCTGAGATGAAATTTGCAGGCTCTCTATCCAGACATGTTCTATCTCGGTATATCTCTCTCAGATAGATATCTGCATATATATATATAGATATAGCTGGAAAGAAATGCGGGACGAAAAGCAAAGAACAGAGGTTCTGTATTATAGGCATAGCTGTCCAATGACTAAAAACTTTTTTTTTTGGCTTTTGTTTTTAACTAGTTTTAAAGGCTACTATCTTTGAATGTAAATAGCAAGTTAGTATGTGATTAATGTTTTCCATAGCATTTCTGAGTAGTTGCTATATTGTTTCTGGAAAACAATGTCCAGTGTTTTGGAGCAACTGTACTTTTCTTGTTCTGTTGTTATGAATATGAGTGCAACTTTTATGTAGGGAGGAAAAAGAACATGATTTGACTCTTTAGACCGAATTATTATAAAATACAATTATAGGACTTTGATTTTTTTTCTTTCTGGTAGTCATTCTTTCTGCACGTTTATGTTTTTTTCTATGGGTACTTGAAACCCTTACATTTTAATGAGTATGCAAGATATGGAGGGAAATACAAACACAAAAATAGGAAACATTCTTTTTCCTCTTTTGTGTAAATAGCAAAATTTATAATGACTTAGATTCATTTCATTACATTTCTCATCTACATAGAAGTTGGCCTGACTCATATACAAATCTTTAATAACATTTTTATTTATGTCAAATATTAGAATTACTTTTATCCAGGACTGACTTTCTTGTCTCTTTCTGGTAACTAACTCTTTTTTTCCCCTGAAGCCAAGTTCTCCATCTGATCACTAAATAAATTTCTACTAGAGGAGAGCCTCCTTCTGTTTTTAGTCTTTTGCATGTAGGTCTTTGGTTTGAGTCCAGACAAACTGAATAGTTTAGAAAATGTACCCTGAACTTGTGAAGCCTGGATAGTATATAGGAGCTATAAGAATACAGGTGACTGTCTGACAAACAATCAAATGAAATTCCTGTCAATAGCAATAGGTAACTTTCCCTTTTGGAGCTGCAGCGCTGAAGCCTCCTCATCTGTTGGATGAACCTGGATCAATGGTGGTCCATTCTATCTGCAGCAGAGACATATATCAGCTTCCTTCCCGGGACTGTTTCTCCAAAGTATCATTTTCTATATGACACTAGATTTCATTTTCAGTAAATTATGTGTAATATATTTCTTATTCAAATCAAAGAAGTTTGCATTGCTGCACTGGTGTTTTCTGTGGATAACTAGAATAATTCATTTTCCAACCCTTTTAACCCAATACCTTTGCAAGCATCAATTTTATATTAGTTAGGAAATAAATATTTGGATCAGAACACTGTGAGTAAAAATTGCCATTATTTATATAATCTGGTGTTCCAGTTCCATTTGGCTTTTCATTGTTGTTTTCTTCCTTGAAATGGAGCAATATAGTCTCTCCATTATTTTACTTTTCTAAAGAGAACAAAGAATTTTAAGCAAGCCCTGCAACATACACATATACAAACAGAAAAAGATTTCACATTGCATAGCATGCAGATTTTGCTGTTTTTTGGGTAGTTCTTTGTCTTCAGATTTTCATACCACAAATCAAGCAAAAACTTTACCTAAAGTCAGCTGAAAGTATTCCCATATAATGGGTAGACTGTCCTTCCTACGGTTTTAGCCTTGCAAAAAGCGTTAGTACACAGCCATGGACAAAACAGAGGCTAAAACTTTGCAAACATCTAATAAGCTATAAAGTATCCCAGGGGATTATGATTACTGTAAATAAGGGCAGTGTGAAAGTTAGAAGGAAAAAAAAATATTAGCTCTAAAGTGGGCTGGAGGGTGAATTCATGGTTGTAAACAAGCAGCTCTAAATTTCACTCCTGGCTCTGTTACTCACATACTGTGTGGCCTTCAGCTTCCGAACTATTTATGTAGTAACTGATATATAACTTATTTATTAAATAAATAATACATGGAACCTGAAAATAAACAACTCTGAAATGAATAAATTAAGGCTCATACACATTAGGAAAATGCTGATACCATAATAGAAATTAAGAGAGTCTTTATGCTAATCACCTGGCTTGAATTATTCCAGTCCTTACATTTGGCAGCGAGGTCCAAGTGGTACACTGCACAGCTGGGAAATAGATGGCCGGGCAAGATGCTTGAGCATTCACACCAAGAGGCTCAA